GAAACACCCGAGACAAAGCAATAAAAGAAAAAAAGGGGAAAGGAAAGGGCTGGGAAGAAGAAAGAAAAATCCTTTTCAGGTATTACCTCCTCAATTCCCGCTTGCTCCCCCACCGTTCATGGATGCACCACTCCCCCCCAGCCCCTGTTCCGGCTCCAGTCTCGCCACTCGTGGCTGCACAATTCGATCCAGCCACTGTGCCAGCCCTGGCCCTGCCGGTGAATTTGTCTGCCCTGGTCCCAGCCGCCTGGCTCGCGGCCGCTCCGCTGGCTGTGCCAGGGGTCCCTCCTGTCGCATGGTCTGTGGTCACCGCGCCGACCGTGCCGGGGGGTCCCATTTGTCCTCGCCATCCCATCCCCGACTGCTTCTCCTGCGGCTGTCCCCAGTGCCCCATCCCCAGCTGCTCTGCCCGTGCCGACTGCACTGGGCGCCACCACTGCTGCCACCCCCATCCCGTCTGCTTTGTCTACGCCGAGAGCTGCGCCGAGAGCTGCCGACCCAGTCGCCATGAGCCATGTGCAGGCCATCCATGCTCTGGTTTGGTTTCCACCGGAAGACCCCCCTCCTTTGGCGGTTCCGGCAGCAGACCCCGCCTACTCCCTCCCCTTGGAGGACCAAGCCTCGGTGCGAATCCCTCCCCTCACCCCCCTTCCTCCAACACTTCTATCCATCCCTGCCCTGGGTCCTGTTCCCTTGGTAATGACAACTCCTGCTGTTCATGAAAACTTTCTCTTTGAAGAAGCACCTTATTGAAACACAAGAAGCTCAGCCAAAAAGACAGCCCCCCCCTAATCTTTCCTCAAAACAAGGGGAAAATCCCATAGACACAGCTGAGCAATTAGACCAATTCTTAGGTCCAAACATTTTTACTTGGGAAGAGATGCAATCTATAATGAAAATAGTTTTTTTCTCAGGAAGGGAGGAAACACATGAATGATTATCATAATTTGATAATCAAGGGAATAAAAGAGGAGGTACCTAAAAGGCAAAATGCTAAAAAGGCTTTTAAGGGACAGCAGGGTAAAGAAGAAACTCCAACTGAATGGTTAGACAGACTTAAGAGAAATATGAAACAGTATTCTGAAATAGACACTGAGACTCTTGTGGGACAAGCTCTGTTAAGGATTAATTTTGTCACTAATGCCTGGCCAGATATTAGGAAAAAACTAGAAAAAATGGAAGACTGGCATGATAGATCACTAGATGGGTTAATAAAGGAGGCTCAAATGATTTATGTCCAGAGAGATGAAGAAAAAGCTAAAGTGAAAGCAAAAATTATGGTAACCACTATGCAAGAAAGTAATTTCCAGAGGAATCTAAAGCCCCCAGGCACCACTCCTAGACATGAAGGTCGTAGGAACAGGGGAAAGGAAAAGAACAGAACTCCAGTACAAACCAAATCTCAGGAGCATTCTAGAAATAACTGTTTTTACTGTGGGGTGGAAGGACATTATAGAAGAAATTGCCCTGATCGGATAAAAAAATCTGAAAATCTTCTGAGAGATGGGCCCAGAGGAGGAATAGAGAAGTCATAAGCTCTATATCTTAGAAGACGGATACCATCTAGAGTCTATGATAACTTAAAATTAGGTCCCCATGAAGAAAAATTAGAATTTGTGGTAGACACAGGGACAGAAAAATAACCCGGTCTATTAAATATTCCAAAAGGTTATAGTGTAAGCAAAGACTGTAAAAGGTAACAGGAGCAAAAGAAGAGAGTTTCACAGTTCCTGTCATTACAGATGTGGTAATTGAGGGAGAAAATAGAATTTGGATGGGGGATGTCTTATTGGTCCCTGGGGCAGGTAGCAGCTTATTAGGAAGAGACTTACAGATGATATAAAGTGGACCAAGGAAGATGATGTTAAATTAGGAGAGCTGAAGTTAAAACTGGCCTCAGTACCTGCTTTAAGCTTACCCTCATTAGAAGAACCCTTTCATCTGTACTCAAATGTGGAAAAGGGGGTAGCTCGTGGAGTTCTGGTTCAGGAGCGGGGAGGAGTAACAAGACCAGTAGCTTATTTATCAAAGATGTTGGACCCAGTGAGCCATGGCTGGCCAGTATGTATTCAAGCTATAGCAGCTACTGCAATCCTAGTAAAAGAAAGTCGTAAGCTTACTTTTAGAAGTAAACTAGTGGTGTGTACACCTTGTACAGACCAAGGTGTGTTGAATCAGAGAAAAGAGGAAAAGATAGGAAAAAGAAAAGAAAGTGAGAAGGGAAGGAAGAGAGAAGCTGAAGAAGGGGGAGGGATGATTGGCAGACTCCGGGATGTTGGAATGTGGAATGATGATGTCTTGGTGCTGGAGGAGGACAGGAGTTTGAATGCAGTTTCTGTATGAAGGGCAGGGAAATGTCTTAACACATGGTTGTTTGGAGGTTGTTCAATGCCGAACTGGGGTCCAGGAAGGGTTAGCAGAATGGGCCATCCTTGCAGGGAAAAGAGGATATGTTGACTAAGGAAAAAGAATGTCAGGAGCACCTGGGGACCCCAGGTTTGGGGTTGTCAAGGTTGGGAGGTGTTTGGCGGCTCTTGTACAAGCAGCAGGGTCTCGGGGGCTGTGGCAGGGGCTGATTCATGGGGCTGACCTAGCGCGGCAACTCCCAGTGATTGCCCACCCAGTGGAGGCGGCACAGGGTGCAGTTTGCATCGGGCGCTGCTAGGGTTTGGGGTCTGGCTTGGTTGTGCTAGGGTCCCAGAGGGTGAGGGGTTGCAGGATGCACTCGCCAGCCCGGCATCAGTGCTGGGTGTGGATTGCGTGGGTTGCCGCTGAGGAGCGGGCTGGCTCGGTGGCGGAGATGCTGGGGGTGGCTTCCAGCCTGCCCAGGGTTCCAAGCCCAGGATGGCAGCCTCGGCCCTGGCAAGTGGTGACGTTGCGTCCTGGTAGTGGGAGGAATGGTTGCGCCGGTTGCCTGCCTGCCTCGACCTCCTTTTGTATTCGGCATGCATGCCAGGAGTGGCTGTGCCCCGCCTCTGGCACCAAGGCGGGGCAGGTGACCCAGCACCACACGGGTGCTATTCTTTCTTGCGGCGGAGAGCAGCGCCGAGGCTGCAAACTGCATCGCCACACAGGTACGAGCAGGGCACAGAAGCTGCACGGCTCGAAGAGGGAGCAGCGGCAAAGAGCAGGAAACAAAGAAAAACAGCGGCTTTTATGAAGGGGGGGTGGATTCCCAGAAGGAGATTGTCTAACGAATCAAGGGCTAGATAAGAGGGGTCTGGGGGGACAAATGTAAACATAAAATGCAGCGGGAAAGGTACATACCAATGACAGAAGGGAAATATCATAACTGACAGCGAATCTTCTGGATAAATGGGTGTAGGAAATTATGACAGACAAGCTGCAGGGGCAGGATTTTTGAGGATAGACAAGGGAGAATCTGGAATTATCATAACTGCCATGGAGAAAAGGCGGGAAGACAGGTGGTAAACAACTTTAGACAGAAACTAAACATATAATCTTCCAAATCCCACTGCCACAGTCAGGGAGAGACTAAACTTCAAACTCCCACTGCCACAATTCCTCCTTTTTTGTTTAATTTTTATGATAGTGTTGAGGGGATGATGGCAGTCACAGTTAATTAAACTTCAGATTCTTCCCACCATCACTGAGGAGGAAAGGGTTTTTTGCTGGAGCTGGTGACAGTTTTAACAAACAGTTTTTTACAAAGGCCAGTAACAACAGAAATTAAAAACATAATTTAAACAACTAAACAAATGTCTTTGATGACAGATGACATCAATCCGGACAAACCCCATTCTTTAAAGATGTTAGAAAACCAGTCTCCGGTGTCCTCTTTTATCTCTTGCACAAGGTCTCTCATTTTATCGATCGAGGCATGGATGCTTTGGCTTCTGTTGGTGATGTTGAAGTAACACAGGCCCTCAAACTCTTGGCACCCATGCCCATGTGCCAGCAATAAAAAATCAATGGCTGCCCAATTTTGTAAAGTCACCTTCCTAGTTGCTTCTTCTTCTTCTAGGAGGTTGCTGATTGCTGTCGATGTTAAGTTGGCCTGTTTTACCACCCAGTACTCGAGATGTCCCAATTCCCCGAGTGCTTTTGCAGCTGCTACCCACAGTAAAAAAATAGACACAGATGTCTTTGTTGATGTGGACCAGGTTTCTACTTTAGGATCACAGTTTTTATCTAATTGTATTGTGCTGTGTTTAACCTTTTGAGGGGCCGAATTATTTAATTTAGATTTCCAATTAACAATTTGGGTCTGGTTGGGGGAAAACAGGGACAGCTGACCAAGACTACAAGGACCTCCTATAAGACGAGAGGGGATCCTTGCCCAGGCTTTTGCCCACAAATAAAGAAAATTCCTTTTGGGAGTTTCAGGGGTGCGAGGCACCCACTGGAATAGAAGAGAGGTAGCTGGATAATAGATTTACACCATGAGGCTGTTTGAAATTCTTTACGATAAATCTTAACAGAAATATAAGTTTCAGGGTGAAGATGGGGCTTATGGGGGAAATGAATGCAAAAAGGGGCTATCGTCAAACCTAACAACTCAAATTCTATGGGCTCTCTTTCCAGTTGGGGAAAACTAGAGGACCATTTGTTCCACAAAACTAAAGAATTGTTGATAGGGAGATATTTCTTGAGATTCAGGGGAGGGTTTTGGTTTGTACTGTTTACAAGGGACCGGAGATGTGAAGGGTACTGATCTAATGAAAGTGGGACCCCTACTAGGCAGGTTGACATCAGTTCATCAGCTGAGGCCATTGATAGACATAGATGGTCTTGCTGTAGCACACGAGCAAGGGTAACCATTTTGCCTGGGTTGAGGGACAAATCCACGCCTCGAAAATCCGGGACTGGAGAAGCACCAAGGAGTAACGTGATCAGCTGTTTCCACATGTGTTCTGGTATGGATGGTACTTCAACATAAAAGAAGGAAAACACATTAGGGAAACTTAACAATAACTTCCATCAGAAAATAAAGAAAACAAATATGGGAGTGCCGAGTCTTCTTGTTCTTTTATCTTCTTTCAGTTGGAGGCTAGAGCCACATTGGCTGGGTCCTGCAACAGTGACGGGGTGATAGTTTGGCGGTCTTTTTCTTTCTCAGCTAACAGGTACGGCCTGACCCATTTGCGCAGGATCCACTATGGACCAGAGGGCACGGACACACAAGCTTGCCCACGCCCCCAAGTGATTAAGTCGAAAGGCCCTTGGATTTGCTGCGACTCGGGATCTTTTATTAACACTGGTGGTTTTTCTTTGAACTTTAACATGTAGTTTTGGTTAAAGTGTCTCACTACTGGCGGGTTTAGACTTTCAAAGGAACAGTCCAAGAAGTTGAGGGTGAACAGTGCCTTTGACAGCCTGAGCTGGGGGGATAACACTTTGGCATCAGCCCTCTGATGTTCTAGGGTCCGTTTCAGGTTCTGATAAGTCCTCTCTATTATTGCTTGGCAGGTGGGGGAGTATGGAATTCCAGTTTGATGTTCAATTCCCCATTCAAGCAGGAAATTACCGAAGGCCCTGGAGACATAGGCTGGCCCGTTGTCAGTCTTAATGACTTTTGGAATCCCCAACACAGAGAAGGCTTGTATTAGGTGTTTCTGTGCATCCGTTGCCTTTTCCCCTGTGTGGGCTGAGGCATAGACTGCACCAGAAAAGGTATCCACACTGACATGAACTTATTTATATCTGCCAATTTGGAGCACATGGGTTACATCAGTCTGCCAGATTTCACAACTTTGGAGACCTCTGGGGTTTACCCCTGCTCCCAGTGATGGTAATGCGGACCCCTGGCATTGTGGGCATGTGGCCACGATTGCTCTGGCCTGATCATGTGGTAGATGGAATTGACGGACCAGACCAGGCACATTCTGATGGAACTGCTGATGGCTAAGTCTCGCTCGAAGGAAGGCATTGCCTTGGCCAGCCAGCTGTAACGGTGCAGCCAAGGCATCAGCTCCGCAGTTGCCCTCTGCGATGAAACCTGGGAGATCAGAGTGTGATCTCACATGCATGATTTAAAAAGGTTGCTCTTGGTGGGAAACCAGCTGTACTAATCTTAAGAGCAACTTATAAATGACCGGGTTTGAGACTTGTTTGAGCACCATGTGCTCAGCCCTAGACATTACCCCTGCTACATAAGCTGAATCAGTTACGATGTTAATAGGTTCCGGAAATTTTTCAAAGACTTTAATGACAGCATCTAACTCAGCTACTTGAGGGGACCCTTCAACGATCTTAACATTGGTTTTCCACCACTGAGTTTGGGGGTCCTTCCAAGTCATTACAGACTTGTGGGAACCCCCAGACATATCCATGAAAATGGTTAGAGCCTTAAGGGGCTTACGACTTGGAATTTCTTTTGGCACCAGATGGAATTCACTATTAAACAATTTATGACCAGGTTGGTGAATAGTCCATTTCCCAGGGTAACTGTCTAGGGCAAACTGGAGGTTGTCATTCTCCTTCAGTAGATGTTCTAAAGTCTCATTTAATCTTCCGGTGGACGCCAAATTGGTAGATGAATGCATGTAAAATCACACCCCGCAAGCAACCGCATGTGTGCCCTAGCCTTACAAATCAGCTGGGCCATCAGTTCTTGCAGCTGAGTGATGCTTTTGGACAGACTGTGGCCAAGGAACACCCACTCTATAATCAAGAGGGGGTCCCTCTGACCTCTGTTTCACTGAAAAATCAACCCATGCAAGTGCAGCAGTTTCCCTAAAATGATGAAATTGAAAGGGAGTTCGGGCTTGCAGCGGTGGGCCTGTCGGCTTTCCAATGCTAATTGGATCCTTTCAAACGCAGCCCGTGCCTCCTGGGTCAATGTGCTCAGGCATCCATCTCCTCCCCCCCTTTTGACAAATAGAAAAGAGGAGATGGATCATCTGTGGTTAGGCCTAACCAAGGCCTCACCCAGTGTAAGGTTCCACACAGCTGTTGGAGATCTCGCAGGGTTTTGGGCTCATCTTTGATCACCAACCGCTGTGGTGTTACCGTGCAGTTGGTGATTTTGAGGCCTAAATATCTCCAGGGCGGCAGCCTCTGCACTTTTTCATGATTTAACTCAAATCCTGCTGCCGACAAAGCAATAACAGTATCATCAAGAACCTGTGTGATTGTGTTGTCGTCGGGGGCGCCTATGAGTACATCATCTATGTAATGATAGATGATGCACTCTCCTGCTTTGGCACGCACTAGGGACAAGACTCTGGTGATGTACCATTGGCAGATGGTCGGTGAATTCGTCACCACTGAGGAAGAACACACCAATGGTAACGTCGCATTGGGGCTTCTCGGTTGATGGAAGGAACTGAGAAGGCAAAATGTGGTGCATCGGCTGGGTGTAGGGGAATTTGGAAAAAAGCAATATTTGATATCAATGACTGTCAATTTCCAGTTTTGAGGGAGCATCGATGGGGATGGCATACCCGGCTGGAGAGACCCCATGTCTTCACTTACATCATTAATTTTTCTTAAGTCATGAAGGAGCCGCCACTTGTCTTTCCCCGGCTTTTTGATAACGAATACTGGGGAGTTCCAAGGGTTGTTGGTCTCTATGATGTGTTCTTTGACCAACTGTTCCTCCACGAGTTGATTGAGCGCTTTTAATTTCTGTTTACTGAGTGGCCATCGATCTACCCAGACTGGTGTTTAAGTTAGCCAATTTAACTTCTGAGTAGGGCGCTCTTTCTCAGTGGCTGCTGTTAAAAACCCTGAGGGGCTGGCAGCTCTAATTTGGCCCCCTCATTGGGACATGCAGTCTCTCCCCCATAGGGTAAACTTGGTGTTCAATACGAATAGGCGTATATTTGCTAATTGCCCATTGGGCCCCATAATTTGTATGATGTTCCTAGATTGTTTTCCAAATTGTGTGCCCCCCTACACCTAAAACCTTGCAGTCTACGTCCTGCAGTTCCCATTGTGACAGCCATTTGTGCGGTGGAATGACCGTCACGTCTGCCCCCATGTCCATCATCACTTGAAATTGGATGTCATGTCCCTTGCTCTTAAGGCTGCACCATATAAGGGGGTTCTCCTCTTCCACCACTTCATTATAGTAAACTGAAAGGTCCAGGTCATCCCATAAACTTTGTGGCACTGGAATGGCCTGGGCAACGACCTGGCCCTTTGGTAGGAAGAGGGGTGGAATGGACACAGCACGCCATGAGAACGAGATGCTCTGGAATAGGTGGTAGAAGTCCTGGTGCAATCTCGATCTCACAGGATGTATGCTTTGTGTCCCCTACGACAAGGTACTCACATCCCTCCCAGTAGAGAGACTGGACCCGTTTGCAGAATGTGATTTCTAGCTCTGGATCCACCTAAAGTATGCCCCTCAGCCTGCAGGGCTAGCTTTGCCCCTGAGCAGGTAGCAGACGCCAGATAGCTCAATCCCTCCTGGGGACAGGGTGTCCGAATACCCAGGCCGCTTGTATCGGTGGCTGCCTTAAGCAAGCTTAGTGGATATCAGCTCTTTAGTGATTATCAGCTCTCTTAAAATTCCAGCTCTTTGCTTGCTAAGGTGCCTGGCAGGCTATTGGGGAAGCAGACTCGAGAGGAGAAGAAAAGGTCCTGGTCGTTCCACAGCGATGGTTTTATTGCAGGGTCTGTGAAGGCTTCCAGTGATGGCTCTTCTTCTGCTGAATGGGCTAAAACAGCCCCTTTTTATAGGGTACAAAGGGATCCAAACTTGTCCAATAGTAGGGGTTAGGGGAAAGTGACCTATGGGGTTACAGAGATAAACTAGTGGCTGAAAGGCGGAACACAGGAGCTTATTTTGCTATCTCATCATGACTCAGCAATTCCTATCATTAAGCCTCGGCCCTCCATGGAGTCTGCTACAACTCCACTTTCTGTTTTTACAAAAAAGGCGTTCCCTATAGTTCTTTTGAAACAGTGAACAAGGCACGAGAACATAGCTAATACAATAACAACTACAAGGAGAATCCACAACATTTCCTTAACCAAAGATGCAACCCATCCTGTTAATCCCCATTGACCGAAAAGGTCATTGACCCAGTCTGGGGTTTTTTCTACTTTCAAGTCCTTCATGAGTTCTTTCAGTTTCTGGATGTTTGCATGGATGGATTCCGAGCGTAAAGAGAGATTGAAGCAGCACATACCTTCGAAGTCTTCACAGCCATGTCCATGGGCAAGCAGCAGGAAGTAGATTGCTGCTCAATTTTGGAGCGATGCATGTCTGGTGGTTTCTTCTTCCTTTAAGAGATCGCTCAGGGCAGCATATAGCGTTAGCTTGTTTACTGAGCCAGCACGCGAGGTGATTTATTTCACCAAGGGCTTTGGCTGCAGCTACCCATGGTAAGAATAGGGAGACAGCAATCTTTTTTGGTTTGTTCCAATCATATAATTTGGGATGGCAATTTTCATCAAATTCAGTGTAGGACCTTTTGTGGTGTTTTAATTCACTTTCTTTTTTCCAATTATGTAACAGGGTGTTATTTGGAGTGAGGGTAGAAAGTTTTCCAAGGGTACAGGGACCTCCCTGGAGTCGGGAGGGGATCCCAGCCCATACTATGTCACCACAGATGAGAAATGTTCCCATGGGTAATACTTTGGGGTGGAAAGAGGACACAGAGATCACACGAGCAGTTTGATTGCACCAATCGTGATAGTTATAGGCTTTGTTAATGGGTGATATGTATTTTCTGTATGTGTTTTTGGTCTGGTCAGTATCTGCCCAATTATTTTTTGGACATCTAAAGTAAAATTTGACACAGTATGTGGCCTTGGAGGACCCCAACAGGTCCAGTTCTTGGGGTTCCTCTAGAGCATCTGGCAGCATTTTTGTCCACTCGTCCCAAGTATCTACCAGGTTGGGTCTCTTACCTGTGGTGCGGAGGAGCTCTGAGTTATAGACAGGCCAGTCATCTGCTACAAGGGGAATTCCTACTAGGCATGTGGAAAGTGGGTTATCAATGCTTCCCATGGATAAGCACATGTTATCCTGTTTTAATTTCTTGGCTAAGGTTACCCAAACATTATGGCTAGGCTGTGGGCTAATCCAGCCGAAGGCACGCGGTACGGTGAAGAACATCCAGGCAGCAGTGAGGACAGCACCAACAGAGATATTTTTCATCTTTGGACTGGAATGGGGCTTCTGATAGGAAATACAAGCAAAATTTGTTATCTTTATGATGAGAGGATTTTCTCCCTTGTTCTTTACTCTGTTCCCCTCCTCCCCCCCTTTTTTCGTTTTATTTCTAAGCTAAGCTAAGGGAGGGGGAGTGGGTATAAGGTTGGGGGGTTTAAAAAGAGTTAGGAAAAGGGAATAATAGGGTTTTTTGAGGTAAAAAAAAAAAGAGGTAACAACATATAATTCAGAGAACAGTTTTGTGTTCAGGCTATCTATGGTTTGATGCAGCAGAATGTTATTTAGCTTTCAATTTTGTCTGCTGTCACGTGATGGGGCGGTCTGTTCTTGTGTTTGTGGGTATTTGGTGACGTCTTCATCTCCAGGCAGAACTGGTTTGGTTTTGAGGAGGTCTATGTGTTTGACTTAGGGGAGATCTTGCTTCGACCAGATGGTAGTAGCATGCATGCATATCCTCTACCCCAGGTAGTCAACTGGAAAGGCCCAGAAATTTGGTGTGTTTCAGGGTCCTTCACGAGCACAGGTGGTTTCTCAGTGAGCTTTGCTTGGGTGGTATTTGCAAAGTGGCGAAGTATTGGTGGGTCAGACTCTGATGCTGTACAGTTCAGGGAGTTGATGACGTAGAGAGCCTTGCAAAGTCTTTCCACTAGAGATGTGATTCTCGTGTCTATGTTCTGTTGATTGAGGACTCTTTTGAGGGTTTGATGTGTCTTTTCCACAATGGATTGTCCTGTGGGGTTTACAGGTATGCTGATCTTGTGTGCTATTCCCCATTCACTGAAGAACTCCTTTAACTTGCGAGAGGTATAGGCAGGTCCATGATCTGTTTTAATCTCTTTTGGTATTCCCAGGGTGACAAAGGCAAGGAGGAAGTGTTTTATTGTGTACTGTGTGGTTTCTCCTGCATGTGCTAATGCAAATACTGCTCCTGAAAATGTGACAACCGATACATGCACGTATTTTGACCTTCCAAAAGGTGTGAAGTGAGTCACATCTGTCTGCCACAGCTGGCAGCTGTTCAGACCTCGGGGATTGACTCCCATCCCCATAGATGGTATCTGATAGTTTTGACAGTTCGGACATGTAGCAACAATGGCTTTTGCCTGATCTTTTGAAAGCTTGAACATTCTGATAAGGGCAGGTACATTTTGATGAAAAAATGCATGTGACAACTTTGCCTGGGCAAAGATGTTAGGAACATTAGCAGTTTCTGCTGCCATTGCTAATGCATCGGCTTTCCTGTTACCTTCTGCGATGATACCTGGGAGGTCAGTGTGTGACCTCACATGCCTTATATGGTAAGGTTGCTTTCTGTGGGAGATTAAGCGTATTAATTTAGAAAGTAATTGGTGTAACTTTGGATTTGAAACCTCTTTGAGAAGAGCATGTTCTGCTCTCATAGCTATACCAGCAACCTAAGCTGAATCTGTGACCAGATTAAAGGGTTCGTCTTTGAATTTCTCAAAGGCTCTGGCAACAGCTGCTAACTCTGCGATCTGTGGAGATCCCTCCACTATTTGGATGTCAGATTCCCATTTTTGGGTCTGAGGGTCATTCCATGTCATTACAGACTTGTGGGATGACCCTGAGCCATCTGTAAAGATGGTTAGAGCTTTGAGAGGTGTTTTACTTTGGACTAATTTTGGGGTCAGATTAAAGGTTACATCAGGGTTAAAAAGTTTGTGTTTTGGGATCTGAACTGAAATTGGCCTGTATAGCTATCCAGGGCAAACTGGAGATTTTCATTGGTCTGGAGCAAATTCTCCAAGTCCCCAGTGGTCAGTGGCAAGGATATGCATGTGAACTCACACCCTGCAAGAGAGCAGAGGCGAGTTCTAGCCTTTTTTATTAGATGTGCCATGATTTCCCGGAAGGTGGTAATTGTCTTTGTAGGTTGGTTGTTTGTAAAAATCCATTCCAGTATCAGCAAAGGGTCTCAAAGCGGAGTGTCCCATTGAAAAATCAGTCCATAGAATCGAGGTGCTTTTCCCAGAATGACAAACTGGAAAGGCGGTCTGGGCTCGAAGCGATGGGCTTTGCGTGAAGACAGGGCTTCTTGGACCTTGGTGATGGCATCTTGGGCTTCTGTTGTGAGAGTGCATGGAGAGTCCAGGTCTTTGTTGCCACAAAGAAGATTGAACAGGGGAGCAAGGTCCTCTGTTGTAATTCCTAGCAGTGGACGTACCCAGTTGATGGACCTGCACAGGCTGTGTAAGTCTCTCAGGGTTTTTGGGTCATCTTTTATGGTGAGCTGCTGGGATACAATGGTCCTTTCCCGGATCTGGACTCCAAGGTAAGTCCATGGGTTGGTGTACTGTATTTTGTCCTCATGGATCTCAAATCCTGCCTTTTCTATGGTTTCAATGGTCTTTTAAACTGTTTTGTCCAAGGAAGCTCTATCTGAAGCACAAACCAGGATATCATCCATATGGTGGTGGATGATTGCATCTGGAAATAATTTCCGAACAGGAGACAGGATGTGGGCCACGCACCACTGGCATACAGTAGGACTGTTTTTTAGACCTTGGGGCAAAAAATGCCAATGATATCTTTTGAGTGGGGCCTCTCTGTTAAGAGAGGGAATGGAGAAAGCAAACCGTGGAGCGTCCTGAGGGTGCAGTGGAATGCTGCATGAGAGTGGCAGCAGCAGGGGTTGGGGCTGGGATCGGTAAAGCGGCGGTGGGGGTGGGGAGGACTGGGGAGGGGATGGGGGGCCGGGAGGGGGGGGTGGGGGAAGCCGCGGTGGAGGGAGGCAGAGCCACCGCGGGGGCAGGGGAAACGATGATAGGGTTGGGGGGGAGGGGGGTGGGAACCCGAGCCGGCGGGAAAGGGCATGGCTGCGCTTGTAGATAAGGGAGAGGCCGCGTTCAGGGGGTTAGGCAGGGGAAGAAAGGACGGCGCAGACCCCGCAGGCACGGGGAGGGGGGGGGGGTGGAGGGGTGGAGGTAGACGGCACAGCCTTTGCATTGAGAGGTGCAGGGGCAGCTGCGGCACTAGGACCCAGGGAACCCGGGACCCAGATTCCTCAAATGGAGTGTTATCAGTGTAATTAGCATTTGAAGGGATATTGTGTGTGTGTGTGTTGTGAAAGATTGCCTGGCATTTGTTTTATCTCTGTTAACCTGCTCTACGGTTTTACTTATTATGTGAAACAAAGGCATATACTGAGTTACAGAGAAGTCTTGGTTAGCTTGCAAGTTATATATTGTAGTTCCAATTTTGTCCCAAAATAAATTTTTAGTGATAATTTCTTTATCAGTATCGGGATATTGAGAAAGAATCCATTTTATAAATTTTTTTTAGATTAGTCTTGTTAAAAACGCCAATCACTTGTTTTCAAAATTTTAAAAATTTAATAGTAATAAAATGGTTATAAAAATAGTAATACAATTAGAGTAATAATAATTTGGACAAGTTGAATTAGGACAATATGAGACAATAAAGACAAAGAGTTACGGACGTCCGGGTACCTTTTTCTGGGCAGCACGAGCCCGAAAAAGGACACCCGTTAACAAAGGATTAACCCTTAAAAACAATAGCCTGTTGCATATTCATACACTTCATACATGATGCATAAATTCCATTCAAATACAGGATTCTGTCTGGTCATCGTCAACTTCTTCCTCCAAATCCTAACAGCACCTTTGAGGTGGGAAGAAGTTCCTTTCTTCTGATAAGAGGGCCATAAATTCTTCTTCTCTGAAAGATTTAGGTGTCCTGTGGCTGCTATCTCGCTGCGAGTCCTTTCTTTTTTAAAAAAAAAGTATCCTACATAGCATAGTTTCTATTTTAACAATTTTTATAACCTAAAACTATATTTAACACAGTTCTTTAGAGAATTAATACAGCATTACTTTCTAACACAACACATATAATATTCATTTTAATATTTGCGAAAAGCCAATCATAAAATACACGCATTTTTCACAGTCGTAGAGAGTTTGACGTTAGAGAAAGAAAAGTTGTTAGAAGATAAGATTTCTAGGATTACTAAGTATAAATCTCTCTCATTCTGGGATCGTTTCGAAGTACTAAGTTTTGATCCTATATTAACGTGTCCCTTCCAGAAGATAAAAACGAGGAAAAAAACCCAAAAAAACAAAAAGGGAATTAGGACCCAAAGGAAAAAGAAAGCGCGCAATAGAGGCTGATTTAAAACTTACACTTTTTCAGCCGTGTGGGGTCCGAGGTCTGCTGGAAGGTAGTCTGCTTTCGTCAGCGTCCTCGAACAATTTCGTTCGGATGTAAATTTCTCAGTGGCGAACTGACACCCCCTGCAGAGAAGATCTTCTAAAACAAAAAGCCCTCTCCACAAGAGGACTCGGGGTTTTGACGGCAGTTACTGTTTTCCAAGGAAAACCCTGCTCTCCTGAGGCTCTTCTCCTCCTGTTCGATGCGCCACAAACCCTGCTCTCCTGAGGCTCTTCTCCTCCTGTTCGATGCGCCACAAACCCTGCTCTCCTGAGGCTCTTCTCCTCCTGTTCGATGCGCCACGTATGCCCCTCAGCCCGCAGGGCTGGCTTTGCCCCCGAGCAAGGCAGCAGAAGGCCAGATAGCTCAATCCCTCCTGGGGACAGGGTGTCCCAATACCCAGGCCGCTCGTAGCCTCGGCCCTCCATGGAGCCCTAGCCAATTCCATGGAGTCTGCTACAGTAAAGTTCTTTCCAGTTCGAGTCAGTAAATGTCACAGATTGGGTAAGGTGTAGCCTAAAAGGCTCGGTCACGTCCTGTGTGGAAAACAAGCCAAAGGGGCTATTAATATGATATGGTTCACAATCATTGTCCCCATGCCCTGCCCCATTTATTTCCTCACGCGGAGCAGTATCACGCTCACACAGTAGTTTTTTTGTTGGCTATTTTGGCTATTTTCCTCATGCTCCTTTCCCTCCCCCCTTCTTGGTGGAATTGGGGGGGCTTTCGTGTCTGCCACTGCTGTCGCCCGTTCTCTGATGGTGACTTTTTTCGTCACTTCTCCTTGAGGAAGTCTTGCTTTCCTGGTGCATTCCTCCATAATTAGGTTCACTGATGGTGGTGGTGATGAAGGAAGGCTGAGAATGACTCTTTTGCAGTCTTCATTTGCACCTTCGGTTATGAGGTCTATAATGATGTCATCTTGGGTGTCTGATCTAGGAATCTTCCTTCCCACAACTTTTTGGACCCTGTCTACAAAATCTAGAAATACTTAATTGGGTCTCTGCTTTAAAGAGACAAGACTGAGCAAAAGATCTTTAGTGGGTAGAAGGTTAAAAGCTTTTTCTGCCTCTACTTTAATAATTGCTAAGACTGCCTTAGGAATTTTTCGGCCTGAGTTGTGGGTTGCTCCCACTCACCCTCATCCATGAGATGTCCTATACAGAGGGGCTTGTCATCTTCGTCATTTGCTGTTTCTTCAGTGTCCCATAAAGTTGGAAGCAGGTTGACGAGCGGTTCCCACCAGGCTTTCATCCACAGCCTATATTTTGATGGACTACATAGGCTGGAAAATATTTCTTTAAGGTCCCCGGGAACTAGGACATTTGCCGAAAGGGTGGTCCTTAGAAAGCCTTTAAAGTATTCACTTGACCGATCAACCTCCTTCTGGGTTTTGAATAATTTTTTGATGTTGTTGTAGGGAAAAGGTGCCCACTTGGGATGCTTTCCCCTAGCACTGTAAGACACAGGTGCTGTGAAGATGACTGGGTTGCCGTCGTCCAACATCCGCTCTTCTACTTCATCCTTCCCTTTTTCCACAGTACTGTGGGAACTGGAAGGAGCAGCGTGGGAAACCAGAGGTGGAGGGACGGCCCCAAAGGGTATGGGGCAGAGCTAAGGCTGGGAGCAGAAGCACCGAGAGGGGCGGTGGTTTGGCCAGAGGGTGGAGCAGAGGGAGATACAGGGGGCAAAGCCAGGATATTTTGAGGATGGGAAGAGAAGACACTAGAGCACAATTGAGGGTCTTGGGACAGGGGAAGGGAACAAGGGAGAAAGGGATTATGGGAAGAAGAACCACAAAATGAAGGCCAAGCCATGTGGCATCCTCCATTCCATGACTCTGGGTGAGATGAGGAATCTGGGAGACGACCTACAGGTTTTTCTACAGGTAAAAGAGGTTAGGTATTAGGGTCTAGGGAAGGAGCTCTGACAGGGTGATTAGGGTCTAGGGAAGGAGCTCTGACAGGGTGATTAGTCCTGCCAGAGCCAGAGGGGAACCAGGGAAGATGTGGGGAGCTAGGGAGACCCACAATGTGGGGGCAGCTGTGCACCTGCTGCAGGTGGTTTGCTCCCCTCAGATCACTTGGTTCGGGATGCTGCGGGTGAGGAACAAGGGGGACTGGAGCAGGGGTTTCAGGAGGAACTGGGGAAGATTTATTTGAATTTTTTTCACTATCTTTTCTATTTCTAATGTGATAGTTTTCAATTTTCTAAAGAGAGGTTAAAAATCACTTTTTTTATTCACCATCTGTCATTGCATCTTTTCCAAGTTTAGTTCTGATTTTGTCCCTAAATTTTAGTGTTTTTACTTCATCAGGGGTAGTAGTTGGAAAACAAACAAAAAAATCCACTTAATAAATCTCTTAACTTTTCCCTTAGATAAATGAAACCCGCCTCCCACCAGGGAACCCACAACTTGGTTATAAACTTCCCTCTCCCTAGGAGACAGTCTTGCACCCATTGTGACTATCTGCTATGTTCTTTTCCACCCACTCTCCAAGGTAAAAGAAAACTAAAGGAAAAACACCTGAGAATCCCTGGTGGGGGGGGAGGGGGGGGGGTTTAATGTTGTGCGCTACGCCTCCCCTAATCCCGCAAGTGACCCCACCAAACACCCAGGGTACCCCAGTCGGGTCCTTCCTGGCCACTGGAATACTCACAAAACCAAAGATTCTTTGAAACAAAAGTCTCAGAGGTGGTTTTCGATCCAGTGGAAAGTTCCTCTCACGTCTGGAACCGGAACAGAGGGGGTTAACTTTCCCACCCGCCGGGAGCCACAGCACTCAAAAAGTGCGTGATTTTGCCCGCAGGCGCTTGACAGTCCACAAACTTCACAGGGGCATCCACGCACCCTGAAGACAGTTCTTTCCGTGGGGTTTTGCTCGCGCTGGCCCCACAGTTGGGCGCCAACCTGATGTTGCGTCCTGGTCACAGGAGGAACAGTTGTGCCGGTTACCTGTGCCCCCTGACCTCCTTTCGCTTTTGACATGCACGTCAGGAGTGGCTGTGCCTCGCCTCTGCTGCCGGCAGGCAGGATCACAGTTCGGCCACTGGCTGGGGTCCCAGACTGCCAGGAGCAGCCGATAAACACGGACCCACATCTAAGGCTGGAGCAAAAGAGAAAGGAAGGACTTTTTGCTTGCTTCTCCAAGCTGCCTTTATTCTTCCCTGTGCAGTAGTGGTGCCAGGGCAGTGCCGTGCGGGACCAGCAGCGCCACGCAGGTGTTATTCTTTCCTGCGGCGTGAGCAGCACCGAAGCTTCAACGCTGCGTAGAAGCAGAGCAGGAACTACAGCACCACGTGGGTGTTTTTTTTTCTCGTGGCAGGAGCAGCGCCAAGGCGGGGCAGGTGACCCAGTGCCGCGCGGGTGCTATTCTTTCTCATGGCGGAGAGCAGCACGGAGACTGCAAACTGCAGCGCCATGCAGGTACAGGCGGGGTGCAGAAGCCACATGGCTCGAAGAGGGAGCAGCGGCAAAGAGCAGGAAACAAAGAAAAACAGCGGCTTTTATGAAGGGGGGGTGGATTCCCAGAAGGAGATTGTCTAACGAATCAAGGGCTAGATAAGAGGGGTCTGGGGGGACAAATGTAAACATAAAATGCAGCGGGAAAGGTACATACCAGTGACAGAAGGGAAATATAACTGACAGCGAATCTTCTGGATAAATGGGTGTAGGAAATTATGACAGACAAGCTGCAGGGGCAGGATTTTTGAGGACAGACAAGAAAGAATCTGGAATTATCATAACTGCCAGGGAGAAAAAGCGGGAAGACAGGTGGTAAACAACTTTAGACAGAAACTAAACATATAATCTTCCAAACCCCACTGCCACAGTCAGGGAAAGACAAAACTTCAAACCCCCACTGCCACAAAGTGGGTCAAGAGAGAGAGAGAGAAAAAAGAGAGAGAGAGAGAGGGCGAAAGGGAGTCGGGGCATGCCCCCCCCCAGGGTCCTGGTTCTGGTAGCTGTCTGCGAGTCCCCCCCCCTCCCCCCAGCTAGGGCAGGGTCCACCCTGGCCAGGGTGGCTGCAGTAAAGTGGTGGCAGCAGGGGAAGGGCGATAGACAGCTGAAAGAGCTGCTGTGAAAAGAGGAAGAGGGGCCAGCAGAAGAGATAAGATCAAGACAGAGATAGCCTTAATCTCTTGCTGGCTCTCCAAGCCTCACAAAGTTGTTTATTTTTTAAAGCAAGATGTTTTATTTCTTTCTTTTTTCTTTCTGTTTTCTTGCTGTTAAGAAGAGGAGACTTTTGTTCTGATGAATGAGTCTGTAATGCTAAAACAGTTAAATGTTGCCCAAAGAGTAAAAAGCAATAGATGTGAAACATCTCATGGTATAATTGGCCTGGCCTTTCTTGTTTAACTAATTGAGGCTCACAGAAAGAAGAATTTGCCTCTGCAGCTGTTAGCACAGCTGGATACAAGAAGAAGAGGCTGCTGTGGAAAAAAGCTTTTTGTTAACCCAGAAAGTTTTAGAGAAAGCTGATATGGTATTGTCTTCCTTTTGTCACTGTCCCTATGCTATTAAAAAGTCCTTTTCAGGTACCACTGAAAAAGCAATCCAAATGATGGAAAGAGGGTGAATTCATGCCAGCAGAATCAAAGGACTTATGAAAGAACTTGAGGAATGGACTATCACATTTGAACCGGGTGATACCAAATTGACTTTCAAACGGGGACTGGGTGGTAATGGTTTGGGAAGACCCAAATGATCCAAGGAATGTACAAAGAACCACACCTAATTGTGAAATAAGGCCAAGCATACATCACTGGTTTTAAGCACTGCCTGAATAAGCCCAGAGACGCTTCTGACACCTCCTTGGGGAGGAATACTTCCACTTCAAACAGGAGGATTAGGACAGTTTTGGTCAAAGAGTTCTTATATTCTGGTCTTAGCCTGTGGCTTGAACAGGGAAGAGTGGGAATTACAATTTCCATCAGTGACATACTGTATACTCTGTTTGATTCATCCCAATACCAGACATGCTAGCTGGGTTATAGGTTAATGTTTAAATTGTGGGAATAATTGGTATTGTAGTTTACAAAATCTATGCTATTGCAAGAAGTGTTGAGTACTGAATCTATTCCCTATCCAGATAGAACTCAAAACAACTTAAATAATAACTTAGTTTTGTGGATGGAAATTATTAGTGCTTGCTGAATAAGACATACCTGAGGAATGGTGGGAAACCACAGTTAAGGAGTGTCAAAAACGATTGGCCTAGAAATTAGTAAAAAGGAAGTGACAAGGGAAAAAGAGGGCAAGCCTGGGTTGACCACTGTCCTCGCAACCGAGAAGATCATATACACCTGCTACGGGTTGCAACCCCATAGGCAGGGAAGGTGGGAGTATAAGCCATATCAAACCTCTGTTATTCCTGTTTCTGTCACTCATTTGTTGTCTTTTCCCTTTAGGGATACCGGCAAGATCGTGTCACAAATGCTACCGAAAGCATTACATAGAAAGAAACCAAAGTTCCTCTTTTATTACATACATCCATGTCAACAGCCACTGTTATAACCCATCCAAATTAAGTACCTGCAGGCAAAACAGGGAAAAATATTGGATTGCAAGAAACTTAGGAAAAAGTGGTAATAGACGGGGAATTAAATGTCTGGAAGGAAAGAGATGGATAGATGGATTTTTTTTACATTTAGTCTTAGAGATATAGTCCAAGATTTGGTAAAAAAACAACTAGTAAACAAAAAGGCAAAACCAGCACAGCAATCTAACTCTGTATTGCCCCTAAATTATATGCTGAATCGTATTATAAGACTCAAAGCAGTTATAGAGATGATAACAAACAAAGCTGCTCAGGCATTGGAGTTGATATCGAGTCAGCAAAGCCAAACAAAAACTGTAGTGTATCAGAATAGGTTGGCTTTAGACTATTGGCTAATAAAGTGGGTGTTTGTGGAAAGTTTAATATATGAGATTGTTGAAAATAGATGACAACGAGGATGTCATTCTGGAAAAGGCAAAAGGTATGAGAAAAATAGCCCAGGTACCAGTCCAAAATTAGAAAACAATGTTAAAACCTAGCTGGTGGGGTAATGTATTAGAGATAGGATGGTGGAAGAAATTAGGATTCTTACTTTTATGTGTTACAACTGTTTTGATATTTCTTTCTTGTGTAATCTCATTTTATTTGATTAGCAGCATAGTCCAAAAAATGCAGGTGAACAAGAAATATTGCTCAAGCCAAATTATTTATAAATAATAAGAGGGGGGATTGTGAAAAATGCATATTATATGATTGTTTCTTCACAAATATTAAAATGAATACTATATGTGTTATGTTGGAAAGTTATGCTGTATTAATCTCTTTTAAGTAGTGTGGTAAATATAGTTTTTAGGCTATAGCATAATATTAAAATAGAAACTCTGTAAGATACTTTCTGTAACTAGCTCAAGGAATGGATAAGATAATCAAGAAATTCTTTGCATAGAGATAACAGCAACAAGACACCAAAATCCCCAAGAGAAGAATTATTGCCTCCTTATCGGGATGGCCCAGACTTCAAGGGACCAAGGCAATTGATTTACAAGATGAGGGGGGGAAGTAGACATTAAGCAGTGTTGCAGTGTGATGCCATTTCCTGTTCCAGCTATCCCAGTACTTTCCCGGGTGTGGCAATACCTTCTCCCTTCCCCTCCCCCTTGCCTCCTTGCTAAGTGCTGTCAGTCAATCTTATCATTCCAGCAGGGGCGTCATGTGATTGGCAAAAGTTCAAAAGATGCCCCTCAGCCCTGGGGTCATTGGCTCGTCCAAGTGTCATTGTCCCCTGAGCCTTCCCCCCCTCCCACCTGGTTGGTGGCTCACCTGTCCCTTCCCTCCCCCTGCCCCCGAGCTTAAAAGACACGGAGACCATGCGGTCGGGATTCTGTGGAGCTGTTACCAAGATTCAGACACATGTGACTTTGGAATAAAACTCTGGATTAACCCTCCGGCAGAATCCGTCTCCTTTTCCTCTTCACCTAGCCTGGAGCCTTTCCGTCAGAGGTAAACTGAGTTTCTACTATGCCTGGACTTGTTCCGAGTGCCTAACTGCAACTTCCAGCTAGCCAAAGGTGTCTCTGAGGTGAAGTACCACAGCTGCCGCCTTTGGCCCAGCAGCATGGGTCAGACGAGCCCAGGCACGTTCCACCTGGTAATATTGGGATTTTATTCCAATTTTTGGCGTCCAACGGGAGGCTGATCGAATCTGCAGCCCCAAGAAGTCATCTCAGAACCTCGGAAAGACTTAGGCAGTTTAGCGTCCACTGGTAGAGCTTTGGCTGCATAGCTCTCCAGAGAGACTTTGGGACTGAACCCACAAGAAGCCTCGCAGAACACTCTGCGCCTTTGGAAAGTGCAGCTCCTTTCTGGTGAGTGAATTTTCCAGGGGAGAATAGGGGAGCCCCTCCTGCCCGTGGGGCCCTATTCAAGTGAAGAGACCAGCCTGCCTGACTTTGCCAGCAACAGCTTCAATTTCAGTGATTATTTCTGCTCCTTGGGGGGGTAGAAGCTCAAAAAACCGTCTCTGCCGTGAGTTCTGTTCCGTTTTGCTCTTGCATTTAGGCTGCGCAGCCCTGTAGAGCAAAAGTGATACCCTGTTAGGCTTTAGCCCACTGCGGCATGTTTTTGCCGTTTTTGGAATTGGCGGCGCCAGCTCGGAGGAGCAGGACAGCTCTGCCTGCCCCTCCCTCCCGGCACCGAGAGCCGAGCATGCCGCGCTGCTGAGCCAGGAGGAGTAGAGGGGCGGAGCTGAGGGTACAGCAGGTAAGGGAGGGGGAGGGAAGGTGTCACGAGGAACAGGAGGGGAGGGGGATGGGGAAGGAATTTTGGGATGCTTAAGGGGATCTTGGGAAGAAGATGACCAGGTTTGGGATGGTGCCACGTGGCATCCTCCATCTTGTGGACCCCGTAGGGGCTGGGGGCCATTTTGGGCATCAAAGCAGAAATACCCTTAGTTTTGAAAGGAATGTTTGAATCATGTATGAGATATAAGAATATGCAATAGGCTATTGCTTTTAAGGGTTAATCCTTTGTTAGCAAAATGTGCTTTTGTGGCAGAGCAAAAGCACCC